CTGCAGAGAAATGAAACTTGTGATAATACCCTAAAAAGAGACTTGTGATATGCTCCAACAGATCCAAGTCCATTGTGGGACACAGCCCCAGACCATCCCAGAAATAAGTGTACAGGCAGCCAAAATGGCTTTAACTTCAGAAGTGAGAAGTCAAGTGAGAGCATTTTGGAAGCCTGGCAGCGCTACACCAGGGCAGTTATGCAAGACTCGCTTGATAAACAGTGCTGTGTTCAAACACTTTGGTTCTGGAGTACTTACAGAAAAGTACAGCTGAGCCCAGAGTTTAGGGTCAGTAGCCTCAGAGAGACCAGAGTATGTTGGCACAACCCTAACAAGCTTCCAGGGCAAGTTTAGGGACAAACTGGTCTTTGAGACCATGCCAGCAAGGCAGCAACCTCACAAAGGCCTGACACATGATAACTGGTCCCCCAGTTGTCTGCTGTGACAGGAAACGTCAGAGGCTCATCCCTTGACCTGACTCCAACTTAATGTGGGCATTAAGCCAGAAACTGCTCTGTGGTGGGATGAACTGCCTGCCTCTTTGCCAGGGACTGAGCATGTCAAAAAAGGTCAGGCCAAGGGTGATGAGTGTCAATCTTCAGGTTACCCCAACACAGTGAAAGACAATTTACTTCCTGAAGCCTGGAAGGGGCAGACAAGAAAAACACAAAAAAGTGGGCAAAACATGGGAAAAAATAAGCAGACGGGGCTGTCACCGGGTGAAGACTGTCCTGTGGGCAGGAAATGTCTCTTTGGGATAGTTTCAAAAGTTTCATTTTCTGTCTGTGTTCCAGAGGCCAGAGGCAAGAGCCTGACTATTTTTAAAGATAAGTTTGACGCATTATGAAGGACCTTGTGTGACATGATAGGATGTTGCAGTCAGGAAATGGACACCCTGACCCAGGAGAGGCATTCCAGCGCTGCACTCCTGAGCTCGGGTTCTGGCCGCTACAGGCTCCACTCTCTTTCTCAGGAGGAAAGAGAAAAAGAAATGAAAAAAACCCAAAGGCCAGACTTTTCATTTTACTCAAACAGAAATAATTCAGAGGAAAACAGGAAACTTCAGGAAGCCAACTCAGATGAGCAAAAAATAAGGGTGTATGTATGTCAGATGTCCCCTTTAACTGAGTAGTAGTGCTATTCCGGGGATCTGGGGTTTGACATCAGGCCAGCAGTAGTAGCTGGGCACCATTGGCCTATGACTTGCTGTGTTGATGTGAAAGCACAAGTCCATGCAAGGTATTCCAAAAGTCTGTGCCTCCAATTAGGCTGTGAGAACATGTTGCCAAGGGGAGCCCATACTAGCATGTAATCTGATGCAAGCCCAAAAAGCTGGAGGTGTTGATCTTGAATGCTAAACAAAAACACTGAAAACTAATACCCCAAAGACTTGGTCTTTTGTATCTGACCATAAAACTTGAGAAGCTGAGTAGTGGTTAAAGAGACAACTTAACTGTTGGAAATATAGGTCTCATCCTTGGCTAGAAGTCTCAACTGCTTTCCCCATCCTGGGGACCACAGCTTCAGAGTCCTTACCTCGTCATGAAACAGCAAATACACATTCAGGCAATGGGGCACTACAAAACAGAAGCCACCAAGAAAGCTGGGAGAGTTTTCCACCTGGACAATAATGGTCTCCATTGTTCTGCTAGGAACTGGAGTGACACAAGCCCCTGTCCTGCAGAGAGGAAGACACTGTATGGGAGATTCCCACTTAGTGTTCCTTTTTGCTCCGCTCCATCAGGATTTATTCTGCCTCCATCTTCCCTTCTTCTCTGGTCCACTGTCACTTCTCATCCTGAAAGGGCTTTAAGGTGGAAGCTGTGTTATAGAATTCACAAAATCAAATGCTCAGAAGCAAGAGCCATCTTGGTCATGACTGTATTAAAAATTGAATGGTGCCAGGTTGTCTTCCCAGACTCCAGAACTGAATCACCCACGCTTAAATTATAGTACATTCCCTGTCACTTTTTGACTCAGACCAAAGAGGGGTCCTACCAGACAATGTCTTTAAACAGTCTGATTTAGCCCAGGCCAGGAACAATTCTTCATAAGGAGTTTGCAGACAGCCACCCTCTTCTGGAGGGTAATGATGTTTAATGTCAGTAAATGCAGACTTTCCATTCCAGTTGGTTTCAGTGCCAGAGAAAGAGCCTGCATTTAGTTTCCTAGTACAGCTGTAGCCTACAGTATCGTTCAAGGAGCAGGGTAGAAAAGACTACAGGGTTTGGAAAAATCTCTCATGCAACCTGCTTATAGTGTGAAACAACATCATCCTTCACGTCTCTGTGACAAAGAGAGCTGTGGCTGCTTCCCTCATCTCTGCCTCAGTTTATTAAATGGCTCATTGGTAAACTCATGGGAATAAACTATAACAGGCATGAAACTTACCTTTTTGGAAGGTATAGCAGAGAAACAGCAGTGCATTTCTACATCTAGGGCTCTGGAGTAGCAAAAAATATATGTAGTGGGGAGGAGGAAATGAAGACTGCTCAAAAAGAAATGAGGTGTGAGGGCAGGTCACACACGCCAAGATTACTGACTCTAACCACAAGTCAAAGGTGTCATGCCCATTTACATTGCCCAGCTTCAGGGGCAAATTCAATTTTTCAAATTCAAAAAGCTTACATGTACATGCAAGTCAAGCTACAAACTTTCAGCTCCATTCATCTTTTGCATCAGAAGTACTTAGAGCACAACAGCAGTAAATTAGTGCCAGCTCTCCCACTGAGATAATTCAGAGGATCTTTTCCTGCCCAGCAGGGTCTGATTTTTTATGTAGATTCCACATTGTGATTAATATGGTGGTATTTTCTCATCTAACAGGGGAAAAAAGCCCCAAAAATACTCTAAAATCTTCAACAAATAGGGCTTTTTTTAGGGAAAACTTGCTTTGTTTCTTCTTCTCTTCTCAGTGAACTATTAATTTAAATTAAAAACTGTGCCCGCAATGGGCAATGACACAAAGAGATTGATTGATCCAGCCTATATCACCCTCATGTACCTTTTGGGGTACATGTACCTTCTGAGTGAGGCTTGTCAATCACCTTGGTACTTGATATTGTCCTTACCTCCCACACCACTGATTAGTGTCACTCACTGAATGAGCAGAGAGGGCGCGGAGGCAGATTCTGCCAGAAGCAAGAAGCTTACTTCAAATCAAACTTGTAAAATACACCCTAAGATTCATGCCATGTAGGTGGAGGGAGGAGGAGAGGAACACATCTTTTCCTTTGAAGGACTCATGGCTTCATGGCTGCTTTTATTTCTTGTAAAAAAGAAACTGTCTAGTTTAAGGAGGAGAAGAGAGAAGGTAGGTTGGTTTTTAGGACCACTGTGTGGTGCCTTGGGAGTAAAACAGCACAGGGTGAAGGGGTGAGTGATATACCAGGACACTGCACTACTTGTGGAGGGTCTCTGTGAAAGCAGGTCACCCATACCCATGTACCAGAGACAGCTAGATTGTTTTTATGGAATTATTTCCGCATGGCAGGAGCCCAAGGGATTCTGAGTATGATAGAGAGGTAGGGAAGGAAGAAGGAGAGAAGTGGGAGGCTGGTTTTCATGTCTGCACGTTGACAGCCAACATCTTGGAAGCTCGATGGAGAAGTCTTCTGCTAAATGTTGGCCTAAGAAGAGGTGACACACAGTAGCTAGAAATGGTGTGGAGCTGCAGAGAACTCAGCTGGAATCTCTCCAAAGCTTGAGCATGTTTGGGAATTGGAGCTGTGCTCACATCCTGGGAAGGGTTTATTTGGATGTTATGGAGTTGAAAGGGGTGTTGGAAGGTCCTAAATTTTATCTGGCTGCGAACAAACAGGAATTATATCTCAGATTGGGGTGTGACAGAAATATCTGTGTTGCATAGTGGTTATTCTGTGCATTTGGAGGCAGGACTTGTCTGGAGTGGGACAGAGATTTACCTGTATGGCATGGGTTCCACCTTCTGCAAAACTAGGCTGTTAATATTGCTGAAATAGGTACTGTGAGGCTTAGGAATGCTGGAAACAGGGTCCGGGGAGCCCTAATACCCCAAAGTCCAACAATAGTGAGCCCCCACCACTTCCACTGGTGGCAGTGAGATCTGAGTGGAGGAAGGGAGTAGGGGAGGTTTGCAGTGGGCTTGGACTGGACTTTCAAAAGAGCCATGTTGTTGGAGTGTTATGAGCTCATCCGTGGGATGAGGACCTGGACAGGTATGAGTGGAGGAAGGGAGTAGGGGAGGTTTGCAGTGGGCTTGGACTGGGCTTTCAAAAGAGCCATATTGTTGGAGTGTTATGAGCTTTGACATCTGTTGGATGAGGAGCCTGGACAGGTCAATTTTGATGTGAGAAAGAAAGCCTTAAGGGAAGAGAACGTAAAAGGCAACGGAGGGCTGGGAGAGAGCTCTTAAGGGTAGGGACTGATCCTCCTGCAGTCATTCAGGGGAAAGAGAGCACTTGGAGCAGTAGCTGCACATCCCAGCATTAGTCATCAGCCCCCAGCCAGAGTGTGTCAGGAGTCCCAGCCAGCTTCAACAGCCCTGGCAGAGGCAAGGGGAGCTGCAGGAGCAGGACTGCCCAGTGCCTGTCCTGCCTACACCCAGACCCACCTCCTGGCCTCTCATAAAAGCAGCAGATCCTGGACTAACCTGGCACATGGACTTCCACCCCCCTCTTGGGCCACTAACTACAACCCACAAGCCACCAGTACCATTAAAATGCCATTATGTGAATGCATACAATTAGGGATTACAGCACAGTTTGATTCTGCACCCTCTGACACTCCCAGCAAAGCCCTGCTTGGGCAGGAGTCCTTTTCAAGGCAGGGATGGGGTTCTCCACATGACATTCACACTTTCAGGAACAGATCATTTCACTGCCAAACAACAGCCATACAGCTGGATTCTGTGCACAAATGACTCCATCTACAAATAGATGTCCAATTAAGGGAAAAGATGCTTCCAAAAATCATTTTGTTTCCTACAGTTTAGAAGCTTTCTTTCTTTCTTTCTTTCTTTCTTTTAATTGACTTTTCATGTTAATCAGTTTGGGGTTGGTTTATTTTTAACTGAGTTTGTAAATTCCTACACACTAAGCCCCCGATACAGAAAGAACAGAATCTGCTATTTATTTTTTGTTTTTTTAATTGCAGAACAGCTATCACATTTTCCACTCCATCTTTTGTCTCAAAGACCTTCATGCCGTTGTAATTCAATAGACCTAAGATCTGTTTTTAAGGGAAGCTGCAGAGCTCAGAAGATCCAACACCAAGCAGGCCCTGTGAGTTTTTGAGTGCTCTTAAGGACAGTCAAGAGAAGTAAAAAGTTTTAAGATGAGGCTAGAGCAATGATCTAGTTTACACCTGTGATGAAGTGCATCCAACAGTCCAACAAATTACCTGTAATGGGGAAAAAAGAATGAGAGTTCACAGAACAGATCATTCTGCCCAGAAGAGATCCCTACATCCTCATGGAAAATCATTCCTTGGAAGACAGCAGGACACATGGAGAAAGGAAGGGGAGGCTGCTTAGAGCAGGTTCATGTCAGGCAGGCGTGATTTCTTGGTCTGTTTTGGTGCCACATCTTTCTTCTGGGCTTATCCATGTTCAATGGCTCAGGACTACCACTCTTCAGTAAATGCCGCAGTTTGATGGAGAGTAGGGTCCCCATCCTTCCCAGGCCTCCAGGAACCAAAAAGCCGCCTGGAAAAGCATGTTTTGCCAGAGTGTTGGGCTAGAATTGCCCAGCTGGTTTGGCACTGGGTTTCAGCAGGATTTCCACCCTCTTGCATTTCATTGTCTCTCACCTGAGCCTTTGGTACAGGGCAACCAAAAAACGCAGGAGAGGTCAGTGGGGCGGGTGGAGGTGTGAGTGAGTGCCAGAGGATGGAAGAAGGAGAGGGGAGGTGGAATTCTCCTACACCACGCTCGACACGGATTTGAGCCACGCTGTGTGTCAGCGCACTGCCCCTCTCTTGCAGGTGAGGAGAGGGGCTGGGGATGTGTGTGGGAGCAGCAAAGGGATGGGCCAGCACGCTTTCCCGGCCGGGGCCATGCAGGGAGCCACCCTCACACTCCTCCACCACGGCTGGCAGCCGGGATCCACCGCTGCTCTGCGCTGCTCAGCCGCCTCCACAGCTCCGCACAGCGCCTCGGGCTGGCTGCGGGAGACGATGGGGAAGCGGGTGCAAGAAGCCAAAGAAAAAACAAACCAACAGAGGGAAAAGAAAAAAAAAAATTTAAAAAATCACCCGCCCCCCTCGGCGGGGGCGCGAGGCGCCAGGGCGCCATCTCGTGGCGGCTTCCCCTCAGCGACGGCCCCGCGCCATGTCCGCGCCAGGGCCTCCGCCTGTGCCCAGAACTGGCTCCATCCCCCCGGAGTGCCACCAAAATGCGAATTCCTGCACAAAATGCAGAATTCTGAGGAACTGGATTATTTGGAGGGTGGGGGAGTTGCAAGGCCGGGAAAGCGCTGCCCAGCGTTTCAGCGGTAGTCACGATCCCGAGCTGCGGCTCCCGTCCCTCAGAGGCCCCGGGCAGGGCACCGCAGCTCTGCAAACACGGCGGCTCCTGGGGCAGCCCCTCGGCCGCAAAGCTCGGAATGCTTCTGCGGCTCCCGGCGGCCCAGCCTTCCCACTTTTTTCCCCCCCCCAGTTTCCTGACAAAACACACTTCAAATCAACAAATGTCAGTTTGCTAAACATCGTGCTTTAACCGCTGTGAAGTCCGGTGGCGTGCTGGTAACTAAAAGCCTGAGTAGCCATTCCTTTGCTGCATATGCCAGGTGGGAAAATTCTCAGCTGGGGAACTGGATATCGCTAAGGTCTTCATCTATGGGCAGCTTGCCTTGGCAGTGTTGCAGGAAGGTTTCCATGACCAATAATGGAAATTCTGGTCAAAGGAAGAGGGAAGGCAAAATCAAAGTCCTTGTGAGCAGCTGTCAGGCAGCTACTGTCCTCTGTAGCTCACCTCAGAGTGCTTGGCTCTCTTTCAGAGAAATAATGATCATCCCAAAGCTCAGGAAGAGAAGACGATGAAATGAGTTCTCAAGTTTTATTACAAGCATGGTTCTGAACTGAAAGCTCTGGTGCCTTCGTCTCTGAATTAATTGTTCTTGACCTTCTTAGTCACTGGACTTGATGCAATGAGTCACAGCTGACAGAGTATGACCGTTTGCATTTGAACTTTTTACAGGGAATGGTTTGATGCTGTTTGGCTTGACTGGAAATCTGGCAATCCAACCCATTATATCTACCAAAACGAGGGAAGTCTGTTGTGACAGTATCAACCACTACATCTTATGTATAGCTAAGTGCCCCTCAGATGACATTAGAAAAATAGATTTGGTGGGTTTTTTTCTTTAGAAAGTAGTAGAGATGATCTGTATCATCTGAGGTAATTTTTTCTGTCCTTCAATACGGCATCCCTAAAAAATTTCCCTCCATAAACTTCAAGTTGAGCTCACAATGAAACTAGTGTCAGCTGTGTCATTTGGGATTATTTTCCGCAACTGAATCTAGTTGTGTTGCAGTGCTCATCTCCTTTCTCTGACTGTTTGGTAAGCCAAGCCACCTCCTATCTTTACACTTGCTAGAATCACTCTTTGAAGTCCTTTGTGTCATGGTGCCTACTCCTACAGACTGAGCACACTGTCTTTCACAATTACCCAAAGGAGTTATGTGAAGAACAAGTAGATCCATTTGACTGTATTTTGTGTCTGACAGTTTAAAGCTGTGTTGAGTATATGAGGCATGTTATTAAATCGTGTCACATTACCTTGTGCAGCAGGATGGAGCATCTGGAGGCAAATGAGCAAAGTCTGTCCTTGGTTGAAGTGACTGTCCCTTTCTGGAGCGAGTTAAGCCTACAAGAGAAACAGCAGGAGTCAACAGCTGCACGTCAGGCAGGCTGTGCTTACACCCAGCTTTCCTAGAGGAACTTTAGAAGCTGCACCCAAAACTGGATGTGGTCTTCTGTAACAGTTATGTCAATGCAAAGGTGAACCTCCAGCAGAAGACAGTCAGGTGACTTAAGGAATGATAGTCATGCTCTTATTTTTTACATTCATGGGGAGTGAAACAGATTAATTTTACCTTATTGGAAAATTATCTCAGTGCAACCCTTACTGGCAACAAATGTCAGCTCAGCAAGGTTGTCTACAGAGCACAGACTATTTATCTTTGGTCTCTTGTGCTTTGTCCAAACACTCAGCCATTCCTCCACCAATTATAATAAAGGTAGTGCCTCAAATGCATCAAAAGGTTTACATTGAGGAAGTTGTGGTTTTTTGGTGGGTTGTTTCTTTGGGTTTTTTTTTTTTAATAAATTCTGTCCTGTGGAAGGCTGGGGAAGTTGCTCTACAATGAAACTCTGAAACCAGCCATCTGAATGTGGAATGACATAGCCCACCACCAGGTCTGTAATAAAGAAGCATGTTGAATCTGAAGATATAAATGTCCTTTCCCTGGTTCCAGTTCTCATTTCAGTGTCTAATCAGATCTCCAACATCTGGCTAGATGCTGCTGTGTGAGCAGCTGTTCCACATCTGGGACATTGGACAGTAACAATTAACTGAATGGAAGAAAGAGTCTGAGCCAGGAATCTGAGCTTTATAACAATCTTGGTTTGAAAAGAACTTCAGGATTTACTGAAGAGTTAGGAGGAAGAAATCCCACGTTCTTGGGCCAAATAATATCTCCTCCAGTAATGTATGTGACAACATCCCAAGGAAGTAATGACAAGAAAGAAGAACTAGTCAGTGCTAGATAAAATGCTTTTCTTCCCCTTTCTTATTTTTCTTTGCTCAGTTTCCCAGAGGATTTGTTCTTGACCCAGCTGTGCTGTGGTACCAAACATGACTCAAACTACTACTTGACTAATGTCACCATTTACAGTCTTTCTCTGCAGCCAGGGTGGGCAAATATGCTTCCATTTCTGTCTCTGTTGCAGGCCAAATCCCAATTACTCAGGGAAAAATATGCAAATGAACAAGCCATGTTATGACAACTAGTTTAGGCCGTACGGGGGAGTTGTATGAATTCCTCCATAGAATAGTTTTCTCAGGACACAACAGTGTACAGCGCGAGAGTGGAGCAGAACTTGGTATCATCCCTTGCCACTAGTATGTCAACTGCACCACTCAGCTTGGTGTCATCTGCAAAATTGCTGAGGATGCACTTGATCCCACTACCTGGGCCATTACTGTTAAATTGTACTAATATTGAACAGGTTTGTCCCTGTATGGACTTATGAGGGTTTTCTATGGACTTTTGACCACTCCTGCAAGGGTCAGTGCACACTGCAAGGACACCACTCTGCTTTCTTAGGCATACCTGGTGCATCTTTTGCTCTTTTCTCAGTTTGCTCCAGTCCCACTCCAATAAGAACAGCCTAACTGGGAACAACTCTTGTTGTAAATATGAGCCTTAGTTTACACAGTAATTTGTACCAAAAAATTTCCTATCCAGAATTCTTAATAGCCATCTATGGTATCCTATTAGGCAGAGAAACCCTGCGCTTGGCCAGCTCTGACACCAGTCAGCCAAGTGCAGAGGATGAGAGTTAAATAAAACAGTTTATTAAGGAAAAAAACCAAACAAACCAAAGCATCTCACAGTTCCCCAAATAAAAATGTCTGGCTGGTCCCTCCTGATTTCCTGCACCACTTACCCACCTATGCAGCTTCCTAGTTCTTGTTTAAGGACACTTGCTGAGATGAGAATGAGTTTGCTGCTGCTAACAGGGGACCATGGCTGGCAGTCGTACCACATGGATTTAGCCATGACATCTTTGAGGATGCAGAGGCCACAAGAAGAGCAGTGTCTCCTCCTTGAATGCCCTGTAAGGGGGAGAAATGAAAGAGAGTGAATATGAAGCAGGGACTGTAAATGGCAGCAAAACTTCCCCAGGAAACCTAGCACCAAGCCCCAAACCATTGAAGAAGGAGACAAAGCCCACGTGGCAGGAATTTGGTATCTGTTGCTGAGCAGAACAGAGCCCACCCTTTGCACAGCAACAAGAGCTCATTTTGACTGATTTCCATGGATATCTGCTTCCACTACATCTGCTGTGAGGAATTGCAGTTTGAAGGCTTTAAATAGATCACAGTTATTGCCACAAAAGGCACTAATAAAAGGGGCTTATACTTCAGCTGATGAATAGATGCAGAGCTGATTTCCAAGTTTGTACTTCATCATGAGCAGAAAAAAATCACTAATCCTAAGCCTGCAGCAAAGAATTTGCTGCATGAATCCAGCTCTTTGAAAGGTCTCACACCCACTGAAATTGATGAGTATCGAGAGGCCATGTACGTTTGGGGCTCCAGAACGAAACATTTCGTTCTGTGTATTAACTCTAGCCTTTGTGCTGTACATACACACACGTACACCCACACACATGCGCTCTCATCACAGACTTGATTGTAAGTAACTGTAGGCAAGCACTTCCAACAGGAGGGAAATTAAATGCCCAAAGAAAGGTTATTCTTCAAATTCATTTCTAAGATGCTCTGCCTTCAAGATACAAATGATGTGTCTCTCCTCTCTTTCAATAGACACTCTAGTATGTATTATTTCTTATCTCACCAACACCAGTACTTGAAAGATGCTGTACTCTGCAGCACTTACTCTGTTTTGGTCTATTTCTAACGTTGAGAGGCTCTAGCATTCTTTTCTCCATAATTAGCCCCTTTACTGAGGGTGATGCAATGTTGTCCATCTCCAACCTGACTGTAGATGGAAAGAAAAAGCATTGCCTCCATTTCTATTTTTCCCTACTGTATGTTGTCAAAAGAACTGGAACTGAAGACTTCCCAGTTATGAGCCACTGTGTGTATGAACAGGGATGTGATGCAGTTGGGAAAGGAAATGTTTCTTGACCATCCTCCATAAAATCTGTACATTCCTTCCAGCCAGGCACAGCTGCAAGCTATCCTCAAAACAGAGCAATAAGGAAAGAAAACCCTCTTTCTCTTGTTGCACTCACTGAAAAGAACTGAGAGTGCGGGTAGATCCAGATGTTACTGTCAATGAGGTGGGAGGGGAGGTTGGAAGCATAGCTTGCAGGAAAAACAACCCCAGACTCTGAACACCACACAGCAGGCTGTCACATAGGCTGTTGTTCCCAAGCAGATACCTCATGCTTTGCAGTATGTCACTTAACGCTAGGCACAGAAATATCTTCTCCCTCCTCTCTCCATTCTTCTTCTCAAAGGGAATGCCCTTGGGAAGGAGTGGTCCCATTAGGACAGTAATAGCCTCAAAGGTGTATGAAGGCTTTTAGACAGCCCTGGTTAGAAATACTGGTAGAAATACTCCAGGCTGAGCCACTGCTCAGGACTCCAGCACACCAATAGAGAGTCTGGTGATTTAAAAGGATTCAGCCAGACATATGTTGAGTGAGGAGGGCTAGCTAAATACAGTCAGTATGAAAATCAGCACTGGGGGTTTTGTCAGTTTTTTGTTTTTGTTTTTTTTTAAAGCTTACTCCTTTAGAGCCTAGGCACATGAGCTAAGCAGGGATCCATCACAGAAACCTGGTCTCCTGAAGGCAAGCCCTTTCCAAAATGGAAAGGCACAGCTCATTTTTAAAAGACCAAAGGATGAGCTGAGTTATCTGTGTGATAACAGGCATGCACCTGAACCTTTTCACTAATCACACTGTTGGATGGAGGTAGCTGGAACAGCTAGATTAGGCAAAATATGACTGATCTGCCAAAGTAGGCAGAAGAAGGTCACTTCTATGGACTATAAATTAAGTTAGGCAAATGAAACCTGGACGGCTTAGACCCACCTAAGATAGTGGCAAAATGTTAGAAGTCAATGAGGGGATTACAGATGAAATTATAAGCATGTGCATAATTACACAAGAAGATGTGAGGTTCATACACTAGGATTTAGAGACCTCTCTTCTGCTGGTGACATTTAGATATCCATGTCCTTCATTATCTCAGTCTGGGAGTCTTCTTTTCTTTGGAAGAGAGAAGATGAGCAATTTCCCAAGTGCCACCATAGTTCATAGTTCATCTCCAGAGAACTTCAAGGTCAGCCCCACAGTCTTTAGACTGCTTCACTTTGCATGCAGCATCTGTAATCTGTCGAGGTATTTACACTGCACCCACGTTGTGGCTGTATGTCTATACACAGGATGTCCTTTGGCAACTGCTAAAACGCAACCACTTCAAAGCAAGAACTGCTCACTGGCAGATGGCAAAACTTCATGTGTCTTCCTACACAAAAAGATCACAAGCATCCACTGCCCTGCAGCCAGCAGCCTGGCCTAGTGGACAGCTGAATGAAAAAAGCCTGAAAACAATGTGCTCATGCCCCTCTGCCTCAGTTTACCCTCTCTAAAATGGGCTTAACTGAACAGTACTGTAGATGGAAAGTGTAGATAGGCCTTTAACTAAAGTCTAGGCTAAGAACAGTAGAGCAAATAACTCAGGCATATTGTAAGAAGGGTGATGTTTTGTTATTTTATAGACTGAGAGTTTTAAAGTAGATGAAGCTGAGTTCTTAATTACCATTAGAAATTAGAGCAGAGCTTGTCCCAGATGACACTTACAGTCAACAAGTTTCTGATCTAAAACAGATAAGGAAACTATGACTCTGCTCAACTAGAAAAACCATAGTACAAAATATCTTAGGAATTATTTCTTAATTAATCTTCCTATTATGAGCTAGCAATTTGTGACTGTTATGAAGAACTCCATTTCACGACAGAGGATTTTGACTGAAAAGGAAAAAAAAATTGATGACTTTATGCACTGAGCGATCATTTCTCATCTGTAGAGGGAACATAGCAAAACACATAGGGACACCAGCTTAAACGTGACATGCTAAAATTAGCTAGGGAATTAGCTGAGTTAGCAATACCTGCTATTATCATGGCAAAAGCAAAGTGCACAAAAAGTTTCCTTCTCATGGTTTATGGGCCAGCTTTGTGAAAGCATCACATCCATAATCTTAGCACCATGAGAAAACTCCATCTTTCTTCCCTTACAAAACTCTGCCAATTAGCAGCTTGCGTTAGGAAACCCCCTCCATTGCAGTACAGAAGAAGTTTTGTCAGGATGATGCTACTGCTCTTCAGGAGGCACTCAGAGAGTAAATAGCCTCAGAGGGGAGGCAGTTCAAGAAGATGTGAGGTTCATACACTAGGATTTAGAGACCTCTCTTCTGCTGGTGACATTTAGATATCCATGTCCTTCATTATCTCAGTCTGGGAGTCTTCTTTTCTTTGGAAGAGAGAAGATGAGCAGTTTCCCATAGTTCATAGTTCATCTCCAGAGAACTTCAAGGTCAGCCCCACAGTCTTTAGACTGCTTCACTTTGCATGCAGCATCTGTAATCTGTCGAGGTATTTACACTGCACCCACGTTGTGGCTGTATGTCTATACACAGGATGTCCTTTGGCAACTGCTAAAACGCAACCACTTCAAAGCAAGAACTGCTCACTGGCAGATGGCAAAACTTCATGTGTCTTCCTACACAAAAAGATCACAAGCATCCACTGCCCTGCAGCCAGCAGCCTGGCCTAGTGGACAGCTGAATGACAAAAGCCTGAAAACAATGTGCTCATGCCCCTCTGCCTCAGTTTACCCTCTCTAAAATGGGCTTAACTGAACAGTACTGTAGATGGAAAGTGTAGATAGGCCTTTAACTAAAGTCTAGGCTAAGAACAGTAGAGCAAATAACTCAGGCATGTTGTAAGAGGGGTGCTGGTTTGGTATTTTATAGACTGAGAGTTTTAAACTAGATGAAGCTGAGTTCTTAATTACCATTAGAAATTAGAGCAGAGCTTGTCCCAGATGACACTTACAGTCAACAAGTTTCTGATCTAAAACAGATAAGGAAGCTATGACTCTGCTCAACTAGAAAAACCATAGTACAAAATATCTTAGGAATTATTTCTTAATTAATCTTCCTATTATGAGCTAGCAATTTGTGACTGTTATGAAGAACTCCATTTCACGACAGAGGATTTTGACTGAAAAGGAAAAAAAAATTGATGACTTTATGCACTGAGCGATCATTTCTCATCTGTAGAGGGAACATAGCAAAACACATAGGGACACCAGCTTAAACGTGACATGCTAAAATTAGCTGGGGAATTAGCTGAGTTAGCAATACCTGCTATTATCATGGCAAAAGCAAAGTGCACAAAAAGTTTCTTTCTCATGGTTTATGGGCCAGCTTTGTGAAAGCATCACATCCATAATCTTAGCACCATGAGAAAACTCCATCTTTCTTCCCTTACAAAACTCTGCCAATTAGCAGCTTGCGTTAGGAAACCCCCTCCATTGCAGTACAGAAGAAGTTTTGTCAGGATGATGCTACTGCTCTTCAGGAGGCACTCAGAGAGTAAATAGCCTCAGAGGGGAGGCAGTTGTGCCTCCATTTCCCACCTGTATTTAATCTTTCTTTCTTCCTTAGGAGCCCCATCGATTCATTTGCCCTTAGAGGGGGAGCTGAGGGCTACAAGTGTGGCACATGGAGTGCTCTTCCTCCTCTTTCACCATCTCTGGACAGTTTGTCTGAGCATGACTGAGGGCTACAAGTGTGGCACATGGAGTGCTCTGCCTCCTCTCACCATCTCTGGACAGTTTGTCTGAGCGTGACGGGTGCAAACCCTTTGCTCAGCCACAGACTCTACAGGGACACCATATGGCTGGTTTTGACAAAACTCTGGTATTTTTATTCCTTTATACCCAACCAACTCACAGTTAATCCGTGGCATCCCTCAAAGGGCACCAGACTATTCATCCAGCTGAGTGAAAAAGCACAGACTCATTTTGACACTGTATCAGCTAACTCTACAGATAACCCCAAAACTTGCCAAGAGGACAAGCCTGATGTCATGCAAGCCCTGAGCAGAGCAATCCCAGATCTTGGTGAGGGTATCAGCTCTGGGAATTTTCCACCCCTCTGGTGAGAGCTTGGATGCTGGAATTTGTCTTGAATAAGGAAACATTTTAAGGGAGGACAGAAGATCAAAATTCTTAATAAAAGCACCATTAATGATATAAACTGGGAAGTAACAGAAGATCCACAAGCTAAGCATAGAGACATAGAGAATTAAGTGCTGATAATCCAGAAAGTCTTCCACCCAAATCTATTCTGACACTTGAATATTTGAACCTGCTTTAAGGACAATCTAAAATAAGATCGAGCAGCCAACAGCTGCATTTATACTGAGCTTTCCTTGGAGAAGGGAAACGGGAAAGAGGCATAATTTCCTTTAAGCCCTCCTCCAGACATAAGGTGCAGCTACACTACACACTAGTATGTATCCCTCCCCATCCCAAACACACATTGCCTTTTCCATGCAACTACCAGCTATGCTAGCATGCTCCATGCCAGGGCTTGCCTTGCCTTGCCTTGCCCAGGAGAGCCCCAGACCTGCCTGTCTGACTTGGCTTATCATGGGTGGTCACTGCAGGGCTGGAGGGGACGGTGGAGGCAGCCTGTTCTGTTTATTTATTTGCAGGGGATGAAAGCCAAACTGCGAAAGGACTTTGGTAAAGTGCAGTCAAGTGACTATAAAGTACTGCTTTAAAAAGGCACAAGGTCACCTTTGCTGACATTTGGATAAGGATTTTATAGAAGTCATAGGACTGGGAGATGGGCTTGTTGTGCCTCTGATCCAAGGGGAGGGAGGGATTTATGTTCTGATTAAGAACGCTGCATTGTTGTGACTCTTTTATCTTCATAAATGCTCATTTGGCTGTTGGACAAAAGAGGCTGATTGGGCTTTTTCTTCTCACTTACTTAGTTCCAGGTGACTTCCTTGGCTCTGTTGGCACAACTTTATGAAATTTAACAGCCATACTACCCACCAGTATTCCCCAGGTCCCTGTCCTTGCACAGTCTGTCTTCTTACTTGGTTAGACCTTAGCTATTTCAAGGCTGTATTTTGTTTGAACACAATGTGAGAACTCATATATATCATCCTCTCAGATGAAGAACTGGCACACAAGAATGCTGGAATCTGAAGGATTTGGACAGGTGGGCTTTGCTATGATGTGTGTTTTGAAGCTAGTGCTTGTGTATAGGTATGTGTCTGTCTGTGTGTCTGTGCGTCTGTGTGTCTGTGTGCTCAGTCTGAGAAGCAGACTCTGATTGTTAAGCCCTGCACAGCCTGGAAAAGCAGCCTTGACCAAACCTGAAACAAATGAGTCCAGGAAGAAGGAGGACATGCTCTGATGCCATGCATCTTCTGGAATAAAATGTTATGGGCAAGCATGTCTACATGAGAAAAACCACCCAGTTTCAGTATTTCTTTTCCTCAGTGGCATAACACACAGGACAGGTTTTGGCCAGGTGGCAGAAACCATAGGAATCATGACAAAAATAATCCTCATCTGAAAGCATGTAGTATAGGTGAGCATTTATCTCCTTATTAAATTAATATAATATAGACATAACATCCTTCAGGCACTGTCTGTGCTTCGATTCCCAGAAACCAGACTTATCTGTTCAGTGACTATTACATGGACTAGAAACATCCCTGCCCTTTCCTCACATTAGCCCTGCAGGGAGATGCAAATATGAAGAATGTCACAAGCTTCATACTAATGTGCTAAATATTTAACATAATTAGTCATCGGAGCCCTATCCCTTTCTCCCACTGAGGTGACCAAGAGATCACAGGATTAATAGTGTGGTCCCCAGCCCTTGTTCTGTGATGTCACTTGACGTTGGCAGGTGTATTGGAGTCAGCAGGATCAGCAGGCAGAGGGAAAGACAAGGGGGACAGGCTGCACAGCCTGCAGTGTTGTTACACCCTGGCTGGGGCTGACAGCTCATTTGCACAGTGTCTGGGAAGTGAGGGCCTGCTCCCCTCATCTGAGATTCTGATGCGTGGCTGGTGTCTGACACCGATGCCCAGGAGATCGCAGACAGGTCACTGGCTCTGTGCCATGGCGAGTTCTGCGTGCAATGGAAACCGCAGCGGGGACAGGGGCCGCAAGCCCGACCTGGCTGCAGTCGGTGCCTACGTGCTGGAGCAAGGTGGCTGGCAGCCACACAGTCCACATCTCATCGTGTGACTGGGAACGAGTATGTGACACCACACGGTCCCAACGGGGACAGGGGCTGGGGATAAGTCCCTGGGACCCATCCAGGGTAAAGGATGTAAAGCTATTCCTGGAAAAGAAGGAGGAAAGTGTCTGCGCTTGTGCTGATATGGTTTATCTCCACTAAAGGACTTTGTCCCATATATGAACCAGAAAAGCTTTATGTGCTAGCAGCAGAGTGAAAGGGGGGCCTCCAGCAAAAACTTTGAATCAATATAGCATGCAGCTAAAAAAATCCTTTTCCTACCCTCCACTTTGTTGTAGGAAACTTCACCTGACCTTAAAGCCAGGGCCATTGCAGGAGTTTTGTAGACTCTGTAGGAATTACGTGTATCCCTGCAGTTATGTCAGGACTCAACCAAGGGCATACTCTGTGTCTAGAGTAGCAAAGGTGCAGGGAGGTGGATTTCCCCACAAGCACCCCAAATCACTGAGCCTGCTGGAGTTATCTTCACTGTTATTGGTACCCAATCATGCTGGTTCATCTCAGCTTGCACATCTTCACTGAGCCATAGGCACAACCAGAAAACTTCTGTCAGGCCCCACATCTACCAGCAGATTTAAGGGTGGTTCCTAGTGCACTGACACAGTGGGATAAGGCAGGCAGAGAGAAGGTCAGTGCTCCCAGTGGGCTGACATTTAGTCCAGGTACCTAATAACTGGTAACTAGGCACAACACACATGCAAACTCTCCCTCCTCCACCACACTGCCCTACATGAAAATATCTAGACAACTCCAGTCCCACTCAGACTGACAGAGGCAGCTGCTATAGCAGAGCTTTTAATCCTAAAGCAGAGTCTGTTGTCACTGGCAGGAAATCTTATTGTGTTGGACGAGCAATCCTAGACCTTAATTACTTATACTGCCCTCCCCACAAAACCAGACAGACTAGACTGGAGTCAGACTAAGCACACTGCTCAAGCCAGGGACCACCTGGCTGTAACTTCATCTAGGTGACAGCATATGTCTTTGTGACCCCCTCTGAAAGGTTGAAACACCAAGCAAGCTCCCAGAGGTAAAGTGAGGATTTGTAAACAGGAAGAAATCAGATATGCACGGTTCTGCAAAGGAATTTATTGTTCCTTCTCCTTTCAGAGACTGAATTCTTTTGGCCTTTGCCCTGACCAAAGACACAGCAGATCATGTTGGTTCAGGACTGATTTTTAAAGGAGCTGGTGGCTCCTTCACTGTCTCCACTGCACACAGTGTAGCAGGGAGTACCTTGAACTAGGTCCTGCTAGTAGCTCCTGTTACTGAGCACCTCATTTTTCTTCCTTGTGCTTGCTGTCAGACTGTCTCTGTCAGATAAGGTGCATTACTTTCTCCACACCAAAAAGAGCAGCTGTGGCACTTGCATGCATTTCCCCTAGCCACAACCCTCTGGTGCTGGGATGGGGAGAAGGCAACATGCAGAAGGAGGCTTGCCATTATGTCTGTCCCGTAAGGTCCCTCACAGGATGTGGGTGCATGTCTGTAAACACAGTGCAGCATGCACTGCAGAGGCACCTCAGCAAAAAGTCAAAAGGCTGCAAAGACCAGAGTTTGGGTCTTCAGAGCATATGCTGCCATTGCAGCCTTCCACCTGAGCTGATCATCCCTCCTTTCCAGTGTCTGGAGAGAGCAATGCACTTGCACATGCCACCTCCCCATAAATGAATAACCAGATTCACCACATTCCCCCAGCACAGCAGTGGCCACGGCCTTTAGTCAGGGAGAACTTCTCTCAGCACTACAGCACTGAGCTGAGGCTGCTGTCTTGTGCTCTGAGGTCCGGTAATCAGGTCACGTCCCCATGGTGACATCTGAGTGCCCGGAGTCCCTGGCTAAGACAGATGCCACATGCTGCTCAGGTCATGGACTGACAGTGCAGGTTGCTCTGCAGCCAGATATGTATGCAAAACACCTTTCCACTTTCTCCTTCTCCCCCAGTTCTCACTGGGGTGTTTGTACAGCCAGGAGCAAACACACAACTCTGGTACAGGGATTTTTATTTTCTGAGAAACACATATTTCACTTCCCAGGGCAACAGACCTTCAGACACATAGTGGCGGCTGCTAGAAGCCTACCGATCACAGGGAGTGCCGCTCTTTATAGTTTGCTAATGCAAGTTTAACAACTAAACCCTCCAGAGCTGGCAGGCACTGGAGACTGACTGACTGCATTCACCCCCACAGAGCAAGGTAACACTGTGCTGGAAGCTCTCCATAGTAATCTGCTAACAGTCTCATCTGTGGGAGGAATGGGATGCTGTGTCCCTGCTTCCCATTCTCACATCTCTCATTTGAGTCATTCCTTCACTCATTCACCACACTCAGCACTTCTCTTGATCCTCTATATCCCTTCATCTTTGGCCATGCCATTTGCCTCTCAGACGAGACTGAGTTTCAGGGAGAGAGAGAGAAAGGGGATAAAATAGACTAAAGCTCACAGATAATCCCTAATGCTATTTTTCCTAAGAAAGCAGAATATTTCTTTTGTATACATGAAGCCAGGAAATGACAGTTTATCATGGATATCGCTCTGAGTGCCTCTATGCTGCCTGGAGTGACTCTTGGCCTCTCATCAAAGCTTTCCCACACACCAGAGATGGCCAATCGTGAGATGTCCGAAATAGCGCTGGGGAAAGATGCGTGGCTAGGCCCTCCATCGTGGTGTTCCTTTGTGTGTATGTGCTAACCCTGGAAACCGAACTCCTTGTACTTGGCGGCCATATCATTCCGGAACAGCTCCAGGGCCTTCTTCATTGCAGCCTGGGCATCAGCCCCAAAGTCTGCAGCGTGTTTTTCGGCAAGGACCTTGATAATGACTTCAGAAATGAACTGTGAGGAAGGAAAGAGAGAAAGAAAAACTGAAGGGACACTCAAGGTTTATTTTCAGAAAAGCCAGACTAAGAAATAGGTTGCAGAGCCTGGAAATATCTCTGAGCTAATTCAGTAGGCCTTCCTGCAGCCTCTGGAGAGACAGTGAGGTCTAGTATGCAAGGAGTCTGGGCTAGGCAGAAGCACTGGGCTCTATTCCTAGCTCTGACGCGGATCTGCTTCATGACCTTGAGTAGATCATGGCCCTTTCCACTTTTTGTCGGCCTCATCCATTAAGACTGCAAATCCATGCCCTCTGTTTGTATAACAGTTTTATGGATCTTGGTCTCCAATGGATCCTCCAGGGCTTACTCTAAAATTGTATGTCCCTTGTGTCCAGTCACTGACAGTCCTTATGTAATACAGTTTCCCAGGCATGCGAAGGCTGCATGGGCTGGTTTATTGTTGTCAAGGGTTGGTCAGACTGTGTGTGGTGTTTGGAATGGGAAATCTAAACTTGGATATTCACATACCATTTGCATACCAGGAGCCCTTTCTGTGCCTCCTCCTGCTTGTACACACAGACCCTGGACTTGAGAGAGAGCTCACTGAAGTCCAACTAGTCAT